CTATTCCCTTAATCACTAATGATACTGGTTTAATAATATAGTGGTTAAAGTGATTACGTAATTTAAAATTTCTAATGATAAAGGCCAATTATTTTCATTTTTAGTGAGTGATTTTTCATTCAATACAAAGTTATAAAATTAACCATTATTTTTATTTCTAAGTGGGGATACACTATTGCCCGGAATTTTTTTTTAATGCGATGACATTGGTATGAAATTTTCAAGTGTCTTAACGGTATAGCATGAATTGACCAAATTTGAAAATGTTAAATGTAATTCATAATGTGTCGAAGTCAAAATAGTAAGGAAGCAGTCGAAGTCTAAGTCAAGTGTCGAAACTTTCAGTGTGTCAAAACAGTTTGTTTTGACACAAATTTGTTTTGATGAGATTTGATATGATTTAGATTAGATTTGATTTTGAATATTTTGGGCCTTTTACGTGTTGGGCTTTTATAAACCTAAAACTAAAAATAGGTGTCTTGCTTTGTAATGAAATAGAACAAATTTCACAGTTGCAGAATTTAACAAGTGAAAATTCAATAGTAATCAAAAATCCCACAGTTTGTGGGTAACACAATTTTATCCAAATATTTCTTCTCTCATTCTTCTCTTTCTGTTTGTTTGTTTGTTTGTTATTCTTCTTCTCTTTTAATGTTCTTGATAATTCTTTAATTGTTATCACCATTACTATCATATTTTGGGTTTGTTCATCAATCTTGAGATCAAGATTGAAGGGAATTCTTCATAGGGTGTGAGGTGAATTTCCAACATCTGGTATCTAGAGCTCCGGTTGAGAGATTCAAGGAAGGAAGATAGTTATGACGATGAACTATCCGAACGACAACTTTCCGACGACCCTGCCAATTCTCAAGAAAGACAATTATGAGAATTGGTGCAAGCAGATTAAGGTGATTTTTTGTTATCAAGATCTTTGGGATCTTGTGAAGGGCGGAGTAACATCGCTTCGGGAGAACGCAACGGAGGCGGAAAAGACTGCGCACAAAGAATTGAAGAAGAAGGATTATAAAGCATTCTTTATAATTCATCAGCGTGTTGATCCTGATAATTTTGAAAAGGTTAGTGATGTTGATTCAGCAAAAGAAGCATGAGAGATTCTTGAAAAGTCGTTTGGAGGCGCAGAGAAGGTGAAAGAGGTGAGGTTACAAACTCACAAGAGAACCTATGAGTTGCTTCAGATGGAAGACAATGAAAGCATTACAGATTTCTTCACTAGAGTTACAAAGTTGGTGAATCAAATCAAAGTATGTGGAGAAGCACTGACGACGAAAGCAGTTGTTTTAAAGATTTTGAGATCGTTGGCTCTAAAATTCGACCACGTGGTAGTTGCCATAGAAGAGTCGAAAGATCTGTCAGTGTTGATGAAGGAAGAGCTTCAAGGGACTCTTGAGTATCATGAACAGAGGATGGCTGAGAGAGCTGTAGGAAAGTCGAAACATATGGCTTTGCAGGCGCAGTCAGAAAAGGAAAGAAAAGACAAAGGTAGTTGGAATGGCAACAAAGGAGGAAACTAGTCGAATAAGAAGAAACCTTGGAACCAAGGAAACCAAAGGGTAGCGAGGGGTTCGATAGGCGAAGCCCCAGCGAGTATGTAGCGAACACAACCAGTAGCTCAGGATCAGGCTTCGCTAGCACATTCGCTAGGCGAGCCTGTAGCGAATGTTCGCTAGGGCCTCGCTAAGCGAGTAGGCCAGCGAACGTGACAGTAACTTGTTTTATTTTGCTGCTCCCATCTAATGTTGACGATTCCGATATATATATTTATAACGTATAGTTGTGCGCTGTTATATGATATGATGTGGATAGCCGTATGGCGTGAATCCTAGATTATGGAATCGATTGTGAAATGTGGCCTTTTGGCATATATATGTGCATTGTTTAAATTGATTAAAAAATGCATGGTGATTGTGATGGAGTTTGTAGCCGTTTGGCATGATATTGTGAATGTATGATGATAGTGTGTGATAATATGAGAAGAATGCATGAAAACATTATGCATATGTATGCATTTCAAGAAGTGTATGGAGTCATTTTCCATGTGAAGCATCATGATATATATTCTTATGCTGATTGATTCCGCGTAGAATCTGCTGAACGATTGTGTACCCGTGTGGGGTGTGAGCAATCGGATTGTGTGCCCGTGTGGGGTGTGAGCAATCCATAAACATTGTGTGCCCATGTGGGGTGTGAGCAATGGGTGAACATCGTGTGCCCATGTGGGGTGTGAGCGATGGTTCTAATAAGTTCCTGAGTGAACTTGAGATGATTGAGTCGGTACCGCATGTGCATCTGCATAGAGTCATGAGTCAGTCTCTATGAGTTGTATTTATCATCATTATAATTGTGATTGATGAATAAACATAATTGTAAATGTTTATGTGAAAATGATGTGAATTGTAGAAGTATGATTGATGAATATGCTTAGTTGTATGGATATATACATTGTAATGTATATGAATGGATGGTGAATATATGCATGATGAATATGCTTGGAAAATGATATATATGTTGCGATATATATATGATTGAATTGTGACGAATGTGGTGAGAATGTAGAATATGTGTATTCTATGCTTGTGTGTGTGTGTATATATATATATATATATATATATATATATATATATATATATATATATATATATATATATATATATATATATATATATATATATATATATATATATATATATATATATATATATATATATATATATATATATATATATATATATATATATATATATATATATATATATATATATATATAATTATATGCATTGATTATTATGATAATATTTTTCACCCTTCTGCTGTTTTATGATGCTCTATGAGGCATTGCAGAGTAGAATTGCTGGAGGTCTTTTTGTGAAGCGTGGCTTCATTCTTTTTGGTCGGTTGACTTTGATATGTAGCACCGGGTAGCTAGGATTGTATAGAATTCTTTTGTGATACGTTGTATATGTATCTGCTGATGAGATGTTTATGAAAACATGTTGAATGATGATGTGAATCAAACTGGTTGATATATATATATATATATATATATATATATATATATATATATATATATATATATATATATATATATATATATATATATATATATATATATATATATATATATATATATATATATATATATATATATATATATATATATATATATATATATATATATATATATATATATATATGATTATATGTTTGAAGTGATTCAATGTTTATATTTTTCCGCTTTTATTCTAAATATTGAGATGTGGGTGTAAGGACTAAGTTTCTCTGTTTTGAAAGTTACCCCACTGTTGCATATCTTGATTGAGCAGGTGTTGTATGTTTTAATTTCATGGATAATGTGACATACCTCATTTATACCATGTTTTAAATATACTATGATAAATGAATTTTTATATGTGCCTAAATGATTTATTTGATTATTTGGGATATAGAAAGGGGGTGTTACAATTTGAATCGTCTAAACTACGAGCAAAGCGACTGTAATCCTGATAAATTCAATTCGGCTGATAACACTGGCAGGATGCGGGAAAAAATGATATGCAGACAAAAACGAAATAAAATCTAAACAAAGCTAGAAAAAGAGTAGGCAAATTTAGGGTATGACAAATATGTTAGGGAAAAAATCGGAGTGCAACATATCTAATAAAAACGGATTCAATAAAATACTTAATAAGTGTTAACATTGTAAGCAAAGGTGAAAAAATGATAATAGATAGATACCAGATATGCATTTTCATATGAGTTCATACAGGTTCCAGAGATATATCTCCGGATTAAATGCACATTTTCCAGACTTAAAACAAGATTAATGAAAGCAATGAAGCTTGAAATAAATTATCTTTACTTGGAATTTTAGCCCATTTTACTCCTTTTGATGTGATGAAACACAAGAATGAATATTTAGAGTGAAAATGTGGATCGAGACGGAAGGGTTTTTGGTAAGAGTTTGGAGTAGAAAACAAGTATGGTTGTGTGGTCATGCAGATGAATATTTTATCAACTTATTCCATTTTCGGAGATGCATCTCTGGAAATATCTAACCTATAAAGGTGACCGAAATTTCAAAATTTCATCCCAAATCTTCGTAAATGCATCTCCGAAAAATTCAATGGACTGATTAACTATCAATATATTTGTTGACAATACACGGAGATGCATCTCCGAAATAATTTTTTGTATTAATCTAAAATAATAATCGTTTGGTACATTATAAAAATGGTCTATGATGCGCACGGAGATATATCTCTAAAATTTAAAAGACACTTTTAATTTTTTATAGGATATTTTTCTATTTCATAGGATGGAATAAAAATTTCTCTTTATTTATATTAGTAGGAGAAACTACTAATATCATGGCTTTCAATTTGGGCTACTGGTGCAAATACTTATTCCAAAATCTCTGTCTTTTTATGTAGAAACCATTTTATCATAAGTCTTGCTTTGTGTTTAATCACTCCCCCCTAAACCATTTTATCATAAGTCTTGCTTGTTTAATCACTCTCCCTAAATCGTTTTATCATAAGTCTTGCTTTGTGTTTAATCACTCTCCTTTTAGATTAAGCTTCAGATTATTTACCCATTTCACTTCCTTGTGGTAGGTAAACTAGCTCCCATATTGTGTTTCTTTTAGATGTTTCCAACTTTTCATTCATCACCCAAACCCATTTAAAAACTTACATAGAAACTTCTGTACTCACAAGTTCATATTCTATAAGTAATGCAAAATTAATTAACCAAGTCACCATATTCTATTATTTCAATATCTTGAATCATTTCACACAAAAATTAATACTAAAAATCCAAAACATATACATATATATTAAATTTGAAGTAATTAAATCCATCTCTAATCAATCTAGCCAATCACCAAACAAGTCACTAGAACAAAATATTATTTATAACATAAAATATAACAATATATAATAATGGGAAAGGAATCAAAATAAACTTGTTACATTACTATCTATCTACCATTCAACCCTATAACGTAGGTTTGGTGGCATAATTCTATTACCACTTGCAATTGCATTATTTTCTGTTTCTTCACCACCACCACCACTTTGACCAATCACTCTATAATCCACAATCTCTTGAAACCTCTTTGAACCATTATCATTAACAACTTGAGAATAAAATCCACCATTTGAAGAACCATGATCATGATTATAATAATCATCTTGTTTAGTAGTAGCCATAGATGATGACAAAGAATTACTCTTTTCTCCTTCAGTTTCTCTATAGTTATTAAGATAAACTTTCAAAGGACCAACGTAGTTTTCAAAACCAAGTGTTGTCATAGCCCAAAGAAGATCGTCACCGTTAATCGTTTTTCTCTTCTCTCGTTGACACTTATCAGAAGCTTCACCGGTTATGAAACTTATGAACTCAGAGACACATTCTTGAACGGTTTCTTTTGCTTCTTTTGAGATTTTAGCGTTTGCGGGTAATGCTCTCTTCATTATGCGGCTCACGTTAGCGATTGGGAGGAACCTGTCTTGTTCTTTTGAGGATGAACTGTCGGAGATGTTTCCGGATGTTGGACTTCCTACCGGACTTGTTTGGCTTGATCTTTTGTTACCTGCCATGTTGAATTAAGTGCTTTTTTTATGTATGTGATTATGTGTGGAATGAGGTTATATAGAAAATGGAAAACAAGAAAAGTGATTTTCTTGATGAATGAGATTGTGTGGAATAATATTGGAAGGAAAGGTGATGGGTAATAAGATCACAAGGGTTCGTCTTTATATATCAAATGATAGGACTTGCTTGGTCATAAATAAATTAAATAAATATGATAATTTTTTTAAGTAATTAAGTACTTTTGTTTAATGGATGTGTCTGTTTAATCCCAACTTATAAAAATAAATCTTTATTTTTCAAATAAAAAAATAATTTATAATTAAAAAATGTTGTATATTTTATTAAAATTTATTAAAAATAATATATTTATTTTTTGATCAAATTTATATTAGACATCAGACAAAATATATGTAAGAAAAATTGCAATATATATATATATATATATATATATATATATATATATATATATATATATATATATATATATATATATATATATATATATATATATATATATATATATATATATATATATATATATATATATATATATATATATATATATATATATATATATATATATATATATATATATATATATATATATATAAACTCAATCCTGAACAAACAACAGTTTAAAATTTTATTTAAGAAAAAAAGTTATTTTTTATTGTGATTTTTTCAATATGAAAGGTTAGTCTTTATAATTGTGTTTAGAAAATTTTCAATTTTCTTTAAAAAAATATATATGAAGAGTTTTGTCGTTTGTTTATTTAGGTTATTTTTAGTATGATGAGAAAAGAGATGGTGTTTATTTATTAGTAGGAAATAAGTAAGAGTAATTTTTGTATTTTGTGTATAGAGTTTGTTTTTTTAGTATAATGATAGAAGAGGGGATGTTCATTTATTGGTAGAATATAAATAAGAGTATTTTGTCTTTTGTCTTTATTTCTTATGAAACAATAATGCTAATATTTGTCTATTAAATTTTTTATAAAATTGTCATAATTAATTTACTATTTACTATTAAAACGTTTCTTAGATGTATGATGAAATATTTTGATTTAAAATCTAGCCTCAATTAGTCCTGATTGATACTTGTATATGTTAATATTCACTCGATTTATTGTGTTAGAGGAAAAAAACTTATTTTGACTGAATTTAAATTAAAATTTTTTCAATTAAAAAACATAAAGAGAGATTGAATAATGAAAAATCCTAAAACCACTCCAATTCGGTGGATTATATAAAAAAACATTTAATATTTATCTTAATCAAAATCAATGTGACATTTGAAAACACGTTTTAGTTTCAAGGTGAGATATAATTAGAGAAATGGGTCGCTGCAGTTTGAAAACTACACTATGAAAGATCCCATCAGTGTTCAAATCAAAAATATTGAAGGTTAAAATAGAAGAAACAAGAAAGTTGAAAGTATAAGTTGGAACTTATTCATTGCATTACTGGACTAAATTCAAAGTGGTGTATCTCTATGTTTTGGCATCTTATTATGTAGTTGCTGAAAATTATTGAAAACGGTTTCTAGAATAAGTCATTTCATGTTGGTTTCTAATTAGTTTGGAATTCTTAATTACATCCCATAACGTGAATTGTTTTTGTACAATAAGGCACAAAGGGATATATTCTTTTCTTTCACTTTGTGAAATTGCTTTTCTGTGTTACTTTGTCTCAATGAGATTCTTCTGTCACATACATAATTGCTGGACAGTACCATCTCTAGGCATCTCAATCCTCACTCTCCATCTCATCACCAAACAATACAATTATATTATACCACCTAATCTTCACTTAAATTATGAAATTGGAATATTATATATATATATATATATATATATATATATATATATATATATATATATATATATATATATATATATATATATATATATATATATATATATATATATATATATATATATATATATATATATTTAAAGCTAACTATGACAAATTATAGATGTTCAGTATGCAATTACATCGATTTTAAGATAAAAATTTATCTGATTTAAAAATGAAAATATAGATTGGTTGATTCGGTTTTTAAATAACAATTTAAAAAAATTATTTATTTCAAATTAATTTTTAAATATTTAAATTATATATTATTTAATTATTATAAAGGCACAAATATTATAGAATTAAATTTATCAATTATGTTGAAGTATATAAAATGATAAAAAAATCAAATTAAATTAGTAAATTATATTAATAATAAATAAAAAAAATTAATATAATATATTATATTAATAAAAAATTAAAAAAATATTAAAGTATTTATATGATTTAGTTTAGTTTTGAAATTGAATATAAATTGAAAATTAACAAATGATTACAGGTTCTTAAACCAGACTCTGATACCATGTTAAAAAATTATATTAGGCCTAATCATTCTTTCAAAATCGGTTTGTAAGATGAAAATTCTCTCAACTTATAAATACATGTTCATGTTATATATTGTCGGATGTAAGAGATTCAAATCGATTACTCCTCTAAATTTGAATACCCTTCTTTAGTGTAAGCTCAACTTATATGTACTAATTAATTGAGTTAAATACATATAAATTGTTGGTCTGAAATTAAATCTTTAACGCAACATTTATTTATATTTATGTATTAATGTAAATAAATTGATTTATTATTTTTTGGACAAATTAAATTTAAAAAATATTTAAATTTACACAGAAAATTTTAATACTAATACGTTTGAAGTAGGTAATTGAAAAAACTTTAAAAAAATTATTTTATTTAAATTATTGTATTTGAATAGAGTGAAAAAAATATTTATTGTTAATTTTAAGCCATTTTAGTAAATTTTAAAAAGTTTAAGTCTAATTTTAAATTTGAAAACAAGAGCTAGGTTTCAATTCTTGAAAAATAAATGTTAATTTTATAGTTTATCCTTAACAAAACAATTTCTATTTTCAAATTCAAATTTTAATTTAAAAACAAAATATTAATATTAAAACTGTATTTAAGAATATCAAAATAAAATGTTAAGAGATTAGTCTCTAAATTAGTCTCTATAGCATTCACCAGAAACCATCTGATTTATAATAATTAAAAAATTACAATTAAGATTAGTTTAAATAATAAATATTATAAAAACTAAAATAAATAAATTAAAATAATTATTATCCAATAAAATATGCATAACAAAGTAAAAAAAAAAAATCTCTTTCCTTTAGTATAGATTACATGTGACACCTTAGCTTTTGCATTTCCATGTATGGAAGGAATCTGTCTATAATTAGGTTGGTTCTTTGATGAGTTCCAACCTGTCAAGTTTCACTTTCACTACAAAGATATATATTCTGTGAAAATTAATTAAAAATATCATAAGAAAGAAGCTATGCTTATATCAAACAGGCTTGTGACACATGGAAACTTTTCAAGCTATGAATAATATATATGTACTAAAATATACATTGAACCGGCTCTTATATTCAAAATTCAATCATTGAAAATAGTTAAATGCATTCACTATCACAATAATATTTAGTACTATTATAGTTTGAAAATATTTGGTTGGTATATTAATTAAATGTATAAAACATGACACACACAAAAAGAGCAAATTTGTCAATATATGAATTATGAGAGCCTCAAAAGAAAATGATTGTTGGTCAAAGGAAACTTTTAGGTTTCAAATATTCATCTACAAAGGTTGAGTTTCTTACATATTTAAAAATAAATACTAGTATAAATTATTATAAATTAAAAGAATTATAAAACTAATAATTATTTATAAATATTATATTAAAAAATTAATTTAATATATCTCATTCTTTAGAATCTCTTCTAGCTGTTCACCAATTATACTTTTGCTGCAAATATATACATTTTATTTTGTTGATTTTATTTTTGGTAAACTTGCATGGTGGCTAGCTGTACTTCATTTTTGATCCCTTCCTTACTTCCATTAAGAACAAGTAAAGTAAGTGCTATGAATCTTACAGCTAATATTCACTCATTTAATTGTAACACACTTACACTACATGTACTATAAAGTTAAAATGATAAATCCAAAAAATCTTAAGTTCTTAACCTATTTTCAGATGCAAAATTAAATTATTAATTATTGCCAATAATTGGTCAAGTGTGTAGATTATAATAATAAGCATATACGTTTTATTCTGTTGTTTAAAGTCTAAGAAATATGTGTTTGTGTTTGTTGATATGTAGCTAAATATATGAAGTGAGATTGCATCATGATTGGTGATCACATAATATATTGTTCTTTTTTAGATTCAATAATGGTATTCTACTTTGTGCTTATGCTGGTAGATGGAGTATTATTGACAACTACATCAAACAATTTGAAGATATTATAGTCTATGATGTGTTTTGGTTTATTTTATATTATGCAATTTGCAAATCTCTGCTCGTTATTTGCCGGCTTTTAGAGACAGCTAGAAAGTCAAATAATATCTCAATAAAATAACAGAAATATGGAAGCAGAATTCAAGTTTTAAATTCTAATGATTTTCAAAATGTTAAAAGGTTTTGAATATTCTTAATGTTACTGTTATCAGTTAGTTAAAATAGTCTTATATTACTTGTAAAATGAGATTAGACATTATTTATATATAATATTTATACACTTTAATCTAACAAAATATTTTTTTAAAGAATAAAATTGTGAAGGTTTTCGCACACAAAACAAACAATATTTTATAGTTGCGGTGACACGGATTTGAGTTTGACTCAAATATTTACCATTTAAGTTAGCTTAGACTTGAGTTTGATTGAAACATTTATCATTTGAGTTGACTTTTAAGAGAAAAATCAACACACATTTGATCTTGAAAAACAAATATACAGATGGAGAATGATGTGCTTGTGGCGATTTCAATGTGGTTACTAGTTCGAAGGAAAGGGGTTTCAGGTTCTCTCAGAAGTGGGGAAAGGAAGGAGTTTAAAGCTTTTTCTAAGAAAATGAACCTTATTGATGTTCCTTGTGTTGAAAACTTGTTTACTTGGTTTAGCGGTGATGGAAGATCGATGAACAGACTGGATATATTCCTTCTTTCTGAACCTTTAGTTGAGCTTTGGGGAGTGATGGGTCAAGTTACTAGTAAGAGAGACATTTTAGACCATTTCTCAATTTGTCTCAAGGTGGATAAAGTTGATTGGGATCCCAAACCGTTTAAAGTCAACAATTGCTTGTTTGAAAACAAAGAGTTTAAGGATTTTGTTAAGAAGGAATGAGAGAGCTTCAACATAGTAGGAAGGAGTTATTACGTCTTAAAAGAAAAAATGAAACGCCTTAAAGAGAGTTTGAAGTAGTGGAACAAGGAAATCTTTTGGTGGATAGATTTGAAGCTCAACAAAGAAGTGGAAGAAGTTAACAAGTTTGAAGTAGTGGAACAAGGAAATCTTTTGGTGGATAGATTTGAAGCTCAACGAAGAAGTGGAAGAAGTTAACAATTTGGACATTTTGCTGGGGGATTGTCAGGATGATCAGGTTGAAGGTTTCATTTTCAAGAAAGGTGAGGGTAATAAGGCGTTGTGGAACAATTTACACCTCAACGATAATTTATTAAGGCAAAAGTCTAGAATTAAGTGGTCAAGGGAAGGTGATCTAATTAGCATATTTTATCATAGTATTTTGAAGGGTAGAAGCAGGAAGAAGTTTAAAGGTTCTTTGTCGTCAAATAGTGGGGTTGTAGAGTCGGTGGGGGAAGTGAAGGAAAAAGTTAGAAGATTTTTTTAAGAGAAGTTTCTTGAGGCAGGTACTTGCATGCCTGAGTTGGATGGTTTAGATTTTAAGTTTCTTTCTCATGCGGAGTCGGACAGTTTGGGGGATCCTTTCTCAGAAATCGAAATTAGAGAGGTTGCTTAGAGTTGCGATGGTTCTAAGAGTCCTGGTTCTGACGGTTACAACTTTGTTTTTATAAAAAAAAAACTATTGGGATATTCTTAAGGGTGATATTATCAAATTTGTGAATGAGTTTCATGGTCAGGCCAAACTGTCTAAAGTTATTACCTCGAGTTTCTTGACTCTCATTCCTAAGAGAGTTAATCGTCTAGTTTTAAATGATTATAGACTTATATGCTTAGTGGGGAGTTTATACAAAATTTTAATAATGCTTTTAGCTTCTAGACTCAAAAGGGTGTTGGGGTCTTTAATCTTTAAATATCAAACTGCTTTTGTCTCGGGTAGGCTACTGTTTGATGGAGTGGTAGCTGCCAACAAGATTATCGATATAGCTATTAGAAGCAATAATGAGTGTATGCTTTTCAAAGTCAATTTTAAAAAGGCATATTGTTCCGGTGTGGGCCTCACCTCGGCAGGCCCAATACCAAATACGGCCCAACAGGCGAACTGAGCAGGCCTGGCACACGCCCCTTCGGACGAGCAGGACCGTCCGCCGGGCACAAGCCATCACGCCGCATCCCCTTCGTCGTCCGTCACACCAGACGAGCGAGACTACCCGGGCTCCCTCCGCGGGAGAATAACGTGCTCGGCGCACGTTCTCCACGTGCTCCCCTCCGCGGGGACACGTCATCGGCCAACCGCCCACCTCCGAAAAGAGCAGGTCAAACCCACTTTCCGGAGACCTAGGAGCGGTTGAACTAGGGCGAAGACCACGTCCTGGTCTTCACTACGCCACGTAAGCCCTAGCAGTCATTAGGGTTGGGCCTGGTCGTCTGGCCCACCTCGAATGACCGTTGGCCCAGCGCTGGGGTCTCTCTATAAATACCCTCTTCTTCAAGAGGGTCAGGTAACTCTTCTTGCCCCCCTTTTCTGTACTATTGCTTCCTCTCTGTCCAACTTCTTACTTGGGCGTCGGAGTGCTTTGCAGGTACACCCCCTCCTCGTTCTTACCTCGGCAAACAGATAACCGTCCGGCGAAGCGTGGCCAGTCCGTGATCCCTCCTGATCAGGTCAGATCAGTGGCGCCGTCTGTGGGAACGGAAACTTCCCCGTTACTCCGAGCAGAAAAACCAAAAGTTTCACCAAACCTCCACGGTTATGGCCAGCCCACGCCGCGACGACACTCCGCTCGATCTCGCGCTCAACACTGCCACCAACGGGAAGCAGGTAGGAACGGCGCGCCTGAATGAAGCCGACGAACGAGACGGGCAAACCGCCTCGCCATCGTCCGAGGAAAGGCCCCTGCATGCCGACCATCGCCCCCCGAGCCCGCCGGCATTCCACCCTGTTCCCATCCCGGCGGGAGCGGACCCCACGGTAGCCGCCCTCTTTGCAGCCATCAACCAGACGAACCAGCTGCTGTCCCAACAGAACGCTAGAATTGGAGCGTTGGAACGCGGCGGCTCCCCGAGGTACCCCCAGCGGGAAGACCAGAACGGAGGTTCGAGGAGCCCCTCACCTCGACCCAGGAACCGCCGACCGCGGTTGGAGAGACGCCGCCCCCAAGCGACACGGGAACGCACCAGATCCCCGGCAAGACACGGTCGCGGGAGGAACCAGAACGCCGCGGCGACCCCAACCGAGGAAACCCGAGGCGGGAGCACAGGCCGGAGATCGAGGGCCCGAAACCCGGGACACACCGCGGTCGGCTCATCCCCCCTGAGATCCCCGGCGCACAGCGACGAGGATGACTACCGCACCCCACTATCCCGGGAGATCATGGCGGCCCCTATACCCCAAGGAATGGAGAAGCCACCGACGCTGTCAACGTACGACGGCACCTCCGACCCGGACGATCATCTGGAAGACATCGAGGCCATGCTCGACTACCGCAATGTCCGGGGAGCCATCAAATGCAGACTCTTCCCGACGACTCTGAGAAAAGGCGCTATGACCTGGTACAAAAGCCTGGAGCCCGAATCCGTTACATCATGGAGGGTCTTGAAGGACCTATTCTCCAAACACTTCACGGCGTCCCGGCGTCACCCGAAGACGGAAGCAGTCCTCGGGGCGATCATCCAAGGCCCCGACGAACCCCTCCGGAAATACATCGAAAGATTTACTCGGGAAGCCGTACAGGTGACGACTTCCGACGAAATGAAACGCTACTTAATGGAGCAAGGCCTGCGCCATGACTCCAAATTCTACGAGGCCGTGGGCATACACCGGCCCACGTCCCTCCAAGACTTCCTCGACAGGGCCGCCCACTACATCCGGTTCGAGGAAACGCAAGCGGCCAACTCCGCCCGCGACACCCGAGACAGAGAAGCCCCCCGCGGGCACCGAGACGACGGAGCTTCGAGCCACCGGCGAGGAGGGGACCGCCGTCGGGATGACCGCCACCGCGAACCCCGCGAACAGCGCGAGCCGCGCGGCCCGGCAGGAAGGTTCACCGAGTACACCGCCTTGGTCGCTTCCCGCGAACGCATACTGGCCGAATGCGCTAAAACCGAGTTCGTGCAGGGAGGTGTCCGTTTTCCACGACCAACGCCGCCCAAACCCAACGTGGACAAGTCAAAGTACTGCCGGTTCCACAGGACCCACGGGCATGTAACGGAAGACTGCATCCATCTCAAAGATGCAATCGAAATCCTAATCAAAGATGGGCACTTAAAGCGATACACCCGGGGAGGTGAACCACCCAGATCGGAGGCCCCGGAGGCAAAGAAAATCGAGGAGCTCCCCTGCCCAGAAGACGGTGAGAGACTCCAGGTCGCGCTGTGCGTCAGCCGCCCCGAGGACTGGTTCGCAAGCAGAGGACTCGGCATCCCCGAAGCACCCAGCTTAATCGGCGAGCCAATCCGACCAACCAGCCGATGGGAATACTTCCCCAGAGCCATGGTCATCTCTGATGGCGCTACGAGGAGTCTGTCCATAGGATCTGTGAAAAGGAAATTCGACGAACTCATCGCGGGCAACTCCAGCAAGATGAGCACGCTCGACAGATTCCGAGGCCGCTCCAACCCGATCACGTTCTACCTCGAGGAACTACCCGGGGGATCCCCCAATTCCAACATACCCTTGCTCATACGCGCACGTATGGCAAACTTCGACGTCAGGCGCCTCCTCGTCGACGGAGGGAGCTCGGTTGACATAATGTACTCACATTTGTTCACGACTCTCCAGCTCAACGAGTCCAACCTCTCCCCCTACGTAGGCTCCGACCTCCAGGGGTTCAACGGGACGACGACAAGACCTTGGGGATACGTGGAACTGAAAGTCACCTTTGGGGAAGAGGAAACGGCCAGAGACATCAGCATCCGCTTCTTAGTCATCGAATGCCCGTCCCTGTACAACTGCATCCTGGGCAGGACAACGATAGCAGAACTCACCGCGGTACCCTCCACCGCCCACCTGAAGATGAAATATTACACGAGAAGGGGAGCCGTGGTCACCCTCAACGGCGACATCGAAGCTGCCCGAAGGTGTTTTGAAGCCGCGCTGAAAGGCTTCGACTCCATCGCTCCACCGACCAAAAAGAAAGCACCGAGCGCTACGCCAAAGGACAAGCCAACAGAGCTGGTCGGATCAGTTGAGCTCGACAGTCGCTTCACCGACGAGCTCGACAATAAAAAGACCGACGCGGCCAACGAGCATCCAGCGCGCCCCATCCCGGATGGCGATTTCGAGCTCATTCCCCTCGGGGACGACACGACCAGAACCGTAAGGGTAGGCGCAGGACTCCCCGACCTCGCGAAACGACAACTCCAAGCCTGCCTCCGCGAGAATGCCGACCTCTTCGCCTGGAGCGCCGCGGAAATGCCGGGACTCGACCCTGAGGTCGCCTGCCACCAGCTGTCCATCAACCCGACCGCAAAAGCCGTGGTGCAACGCCGTCGCCGCCAGTCTCCAGAAAAATCGGCAGCGGCCGAACAAGCTGTAAAAGACCTCTTAGAGGCAAATTTTATTTCGGAAGCCCGGTATTCCACCTGGCTGTCCAACGTTGTACTTGTTAAAAAGAATAATGGAAAATGGCGCATGTGTGTTGACTACACTGACCTCAACCGGGCATGTCCTAAGGACGCCTACCCCCTCCCCAACATCGACAAGCTCGTCGACAACTCGGCGGGCTTCAAACTCTTGTCCTTCATGGACGCATACTCGGGATACAATCAGATCCCGATGGCCGAACACGACAAACAGGCCACGGCCTTCATGACAGCATCGGGCAATTATTATTACAACGTAATGCCTTTCGGCCTCAAAAACGCCGGGGCCACGTACCAACGGATGATGAACCGCGTCTTCCACGAGGAGATCGGGGACATGCTCGAAGTCTATATGGACGACATGATCGTCAAATCCGGCGCGGAAGACGACCATGCGGCGC